ACAGTAGACTATTCTGATCGGTAACTATAATACGACAGTATATGCAAGAAACAGCTCTGAGTATGGGGGAGAGGGGGGGGGGGGAGTATGGCATTAGCTCCATATGCAAGAGGGGAGGAAGTTACAGGTTACGTTCACAGAACGAAATAATTTACAGACACTCGATACGAAGGTCTCGGGATCGAATCTGCCAAGGTGAATTGTTCGAGGTTCATGTACTTATACATTTAGGTGCAGGTTAAAGAACAACATAAGCTTTATTAAACTGTCAACGACACCAAGAAAATGAGTGGTAATTATAGAATCTCTCGTGGCACTCGCATGTGTGGAAAACGACACTTTCAAGACACATTGATGTGCGTGTAGTATGTGCTATACTAGAAAATCTTTCAGAAGCTACGAAGTCGAATCCATGAGTGGCATTTCAGTGGGTTGCCGCTCACTGCGGAATCAAGGGAAATGAAATGGTAGATCAACTGGCGAAAACAGCCCATCATTCTACAAAAACGTGCCTCCTTTTTGTATCTCAATATGATGCAAATAGAATTCTAATAACAACAAAACGTGAATTAAGCTTGTCTACCTGGTTCACAGAGAAAACAATGGAATTGATCTTATGTGCTGCTGGTCCTAATCTTGAATGACAATTAAACCGTCATCTCCCAAGGCATATAGACGCACTCATACATCGCTGAAGACTTGGAACTGATTACACAAAACACTTCCTACTTCGTATTCAGCGCGCAACATTATCAGCATGTTCATGCGGCCGCGACGTCGATAATGTTTGTCACCTCTTGCTCCACTATCCGTAACACGACACACACCGAAGGCAGCTCGAACAGGAACTCCATACGTTAGATCTCGAGCGGTCGTTTGCGTCAGATAAAATACTAGGCCCATGGGCAAATGGCAAAACAATGAAGGTGCCGCAACAATTCTTCGAAGAAACGAAGATTTGTGACCACTAGTGAGCAGACTATAGGTAAAAGTGAGCGTGGCGACTATTTGTCTGTTCTGCCCATAGGAGAACTTTTGCACGCACTTATGTAGACTGTATACATGTATATATACTAATTTATTTTTCTTTCTATTTTTTATTTATAATAATCAAGTGGAAAGGGGTAGCCGTCCTGAAGTAACGGTGACAAAAACTCATTCGTTTATTTTCTATTTCAATAAAAAAGACACCAGAAGATCCAAATCTCGGCAGCCCTCCTCTAAAAAGTTCCTCATAATAACACCGTTCTCACGAGACGTAAAACCCCAACAATTATTGATGTGATCCCAATAATAATTTCGTTTCGCATAAACTTTGGTGGCAGTGTTGCCGGCAGCGTCAGTCGCAAAAAAAAAAATAAGTATTCTTGCCCAACCACCTAAGCTTGAGCGTACAAGAGCTCGCAGCTGTTGTTACTGGCTACCAAGTCAAGTCCGTTTTGCTAACGCTAGTACGCACCGACATAGTGAAGCTAGAAATAACACACGGGACGCACAGAAATGGCAGTATTAGCTTTCTCGACATTCAAATTATATTTAGTGACAAGTGAAGGTACTGGACCTATAAGTCTCGTGTCAACAAATTATTGCTCTCTCATGACTCCACCCATTAAAAACCGGCCAAGAGGAACATTGTTATGTCTTTTTCTAATGCATTGCGTAAATCACGGCCAGAACTCATGAGTGTCCGTTTTGACGAGCGAACCCTCCAGCTACCCGATTTGTGTTATCCCTCTCAGTTACTGGGCACTGAAGGCACGCGACAGTAGACGTCGTCAAGTTTTCTGTCATGTCGTACGTTCATGACGTGTCATATCCTCTAAGAATGATAGTGCAAAAAGTGAACCCTTTCTGTTCCTTACAAATTTCAGAAAATGTGCAGAATGACAAACCTCTGCACCTCTTCAGTGGGCAAGCAGCATAAGGATAAGTAAAGTCAGTCGATTCACTTATGCACAGCTGACCTATTAACGCGATAGCGTTAGAGAGCTCGTGCCGCAGAAATTCGGCCATCCGCCTCGGCACCGTTGGTTGTGAGCGAAAAATCGTCCCGTGGAGATAAAGCTTGTTACAGAGATCGCCTTGGGAGGCAGCTACTTGTCCGTGCGTGCGGATCATAATTATTAAAGCAGCAGTTAAAATCTTCGTAGCACTTATTACATTGTACGGTTTTTCCGGGAGTCAGTCACCAGGTACTTACTAGATTGTTCGTGTGTGTGTGTTTGTTTCTTTGTGTTTTTTTTCTCTAACCACCACGTGGTGAAGTGCTCGTACACTGAACCCGCAAGTTTTTGTAGTAGAGCTTACACTTTCTCTTTTTCGTAGGGCAGAGATCGCATTTTCGAGCTATCGAGCGAGACAAGTCTTAAGGACAATCGGTGTCATAAAGACATAGTTAAAAAGCTGTAAAGTGTTCAGAATGCAGGGTGAATTTGAAAATGGACCCAAGTGCAGAAGCAAATAAAGAGGAGGCTGACGGAAAGTGTAGGCAATGTGAGGTCAAGGAGAAAATGGAGAAAATGATGGCTGCCCAGAGTGAACTGCTGTTGAGAATCACCAAGCTGGAAACTGCGTTGGCGGCAGAGCAAGAAAAAACGAGGGCAATGGCAGAAAGGCTGAAGTCCGCTGAGGAAGCACTTGCCAAGGTGAACAAAGGAGCGGCCGACGGAGAAAACAGTAGAGAACTGGCCACCAGAACGGCGGAGAAGAAAGAGCAAGCAAGCTTAGAAAAAACAGGTTCAGCCGGTTCAATTGTCGCAAGGCCCAGCTTCAGCAAAGTCGCGGTGGGGCTGAGGGGGGACAAAGCAGCCGGCGTCACCGGTGAAAGTAACCCCCAGGTGCAGGACACTCCAGCTGAAAAGTCACAGCATGTGATACTCGCCGGGTACTCGAATTCATATCGATGCGCAGAAGCGATCGAAGAGAGGGTAAGAGGCGACAAGAGGGTCGCAGTAGGGACGTTCGCAGGACGCAAGCTGGAAGCAGTCATGAGGCAAGCGAGCGCAAAACTCAAAACGACAGCTGATCGACGAAACCTCGTGATAATTTCAGGCGGTTTAAACGACTGTCTTAAATGAAGATACAGCAGGACAAGCAAGCCACACTGGCAAAAGGCGTTGATGACATGCGCACCACTTCTCCTCAAGTACAGGTAGTGATATGCACGATACCGGAGGTACCGGTGCGTGATGTCAACCTGCAAAGAGCGGTTGTCAATGCAAACCGAGAGATATGGCGGATGAGTCGAGAGAAAGGCTTTGAGGTGGTGGAAATCAACAGAGAGGGGCATAGGTGGGGTGGTTTTCAACGAGACAGAATTCACTTCTCCTATTCAGATGCGTCTGTTTGCCGACGACTGTGTCGTGTACACAGTCGTGCGCAATTCAGACGACCAACTAAACTTAACAATTCACTTCAGGCAATTTATTCCTGGTGCAATACTTGGGGCATGAAATTAAACACATCAAAAACGCATTGCATTTCTTTACAAATAAGAAATCCCCCCTTAACTATACATATAGGATTGGAAACTCAATTATCGAAAAATGCAATCAAGTAAATACCTAGGCATTACACTCACGCCGAATCTTAACTGGGAACCACACATCTTGGCCATGTGTCAGAAAGCGGAAAAGAAATTATCTTTCTTAAGAAGAAAACTGCGCAATGCACCACCACATATTAAAATAAATGCCTACAAAACACTAATTAGACCATGTTTAGAGTACGCCGATCTCATCTGGAGTCCACATCAAAAGTACCTGATTAGTAAAATAGAACGAATACAAAAATTGGCAGTAAGGTTCGTATATTCAGAATTCGCGAGGCAGTCCAGTACCGCAGATTTACTCGCAAGGGCAAACTTAAAACAACTTTTTCAACGCAGAATAATTGTCACGATTAAAATTCCTTTACCAATTATATCATGGTCATTTCCACATATCACGCTCTCATTATCTGCAAGATCCACTTAAACAATCATTCCGACTAAATCATTCTAAAACAATACGCCAACCTTTAAGTCGTGTAAACGCTCACAAACATTCACTTTTTCCGTCAGCTATCTCCCTCTGGAACAGACTACCCAACGACATTGTTTGTTGTAGTACGATTGACTCTTTCATCAACCGCATACAGTGTATTGAATTTGCACCATGATTTTTTTTTCTTTTTTTGTTTGTTCATTTTTTTTCTTTTTTTCTTTTTTTTTTCTCTGGCAATGTATGTATTTCGATGTATCTGTGTACCCACTCCTGCTTGGGCCGTGAAGGGCCTGCAGTATATTCAAATAAAAAAAAAATGAGGTGGGTTTGGAACTTGCAGGACGCACAGTAGCTTTTTTTTTGGGGGGGGGTGGAGGCAAGAGGGTCCCTTCGAGGTGCAGGATAGCTAGTAACGAGGAAAACAACCAGGGAGACTCTTTGACAGGCGGCGTGGACAGATACGATCCAAAGTGGCACCAGTATCTAAGATAGGTAGAGTCCGGGGCAGAAGTAGACGTAGCCACGAGCGCCGAGCCAATTCAGGCATAGGGTATATTAACATGCAGGGAGGTAGGAACAGGCTGAAGTGGGAAGAGATAGAAGAACAGCTAAGGGAGGAGAGGCCGATGGTATACGGTTTTGTAGAAACACATCTTAGGGACATGGAACAACCTCCTAACAACCCGGACTACACGTGGGTATATTGTAATAGAAGAGAAGGCAGCAGAGAGGGGGGTTGTATTGGGGCATTCATTCATAAAAGTACTGAGTGGCAAAGGTTCAAGCAGGAGTGCAAGGAAAATTTATGGCTAAAAGGGAAAATGGCAGGGCAAAGGACACTTTTCGGTATCTAGTACTTGTGGACGGGTGCAAAGGCCAGAGAGGAAAACCAAGCAATGGTGGTGTGATCAAAGTACATCAAGGAATTAGGAGGAGAGTGCGAGATAATTATACTAGGACATATGAATGCGCACATAGAATAAATATATGGATATACCGACCTGACAGGCAAAATGATCATGCAGTTCCACCCTGAAGATTTGCGAATATGTCTTCAGGAAGTGGCAAGGGATACTGATCGACCTTGATGGCTGGGTTTACTGTGACGCGATAGTCGCCACATAATCTCAGTTCTTGAGTGTTCTTTTTTGGAACAATCACAAGAGGCGTTGCCCATGGACTATGTCTGACCTTTTATATGACTCCAGCTTTTTCTAGCTTGACCAATTCTTGTTCAGCGCGCTCGCGCAAAGCGTATGGCACTGGTCGCGCTTTCATAAAGACAGGGCGCGCGTCATCCTTCAATTCAATGCTGCATTCGAATCCCTCAATTGTACCAAAACCCGCGCCAAACACTTCGGGAAATTTCTCAGCAAGCAATGCCTCCTTAGCCACCACATTTACTGAAAATACTTCCTGCCAATTTATTTTGATTTTAGAAAGCCAATCTCGGCCAAACAACGTGGGCATTCTAGCACCCTGCGTTTCTTTCGCTATGACAAGTGGCATTTCGAAACACTGGTTTTGGTATTGCACCTTTACATCCATAATACCAACAGTAGGGACCGTCGTGCCATTGTACGTGGCTAGTTTGACATTTGTTTGCCTGCAAGAGGCGTCTGGGAAGTGTTGAGCACACTCTGTTTCTGACATTATTGACACCGCTGCGCCCGTGTCAAGTTCCATGGGTATCACTTTATCATTTATGCAAACCTTGATTACAATGGCGGGCATACCTTCTTTGTGGTTCGTATTATACAGAGATAGCAGTTCGTTAGTATTTTCTTTCTCGCATTCTTCGCTCTCTACTCTATTTACAAGCTTAGATTTGCACATTTCAGCAACATGACCCCTTTTTGTACACTTATAACAGGTACTGTTCAGAAATCGGCAACTCACGGGTGAATGCTGTCCTCCGCAACGATGACACATTCTTTTCGTTTGTTCTTTTGCTGCCCCATTTTCCTTGTCCCAGCTGGACTGCGTCGGCGCTTCCCTCGAAGGTGCTTTACTCGGTTGTGAGATTTTTCGTTGCCAGTAGATGTCCTCCGTTTCTACAGCTGCTCCTTTAGAAATGGTTTGCAGCATTTCTTTCGTGTCTTGTGTTGCCGCTTCCATGGCCATGGCTACGCTGCATGCGCGTTCCCACGTTACTTCCTCGTCTGGCATTGCCAATAGCCTGCACCGTACTCCCTCGGTACGTATTCCAGCGACGAGCCGGTCACGCAATGCTTCGGTCAAAAAGGCACCGAATTCGCATGTTGCCGCGAGTTTCTTCAATTCGACTATAAAGTCTGCGACAGTCTCATGCGGCTCTTGCTTTCGCTGGTGAAAACGATACCTTTCGGTGACCACGGAGCGCTTGGGAGCGTAATGCTTCTTCAGAACGTCAACAACTTCCGTGAATGACGTCTTAGCTGGTGTTTTAGGCAGCAGCAAGCTCCGAAGCGTGACGTAGGCCTTCTCACCTATAGCCGTGAGAAAGATTGGAAGCTTCTTGTCTTCCGCGATGTCATTGGCCGCGGCAAATACTTCGAACCGCTCCAGGTATACCTCGAAGTTACCGTCCTCTTGTTGGAACTCGGGTAACTTACCGACAGTGGTCGCCATACTCAGTTCAAGCTGGTTAGAGTGGGATTGCTAGAAGCCTGCGGCGTATTCCATCCTCGTCGCCAGTTGTTATATCCCGACACCGGGCACATGGTATCACTTCTTTATTACTGAGGCGCACACTGCCAGCCTCAACACAAGCAGTACAAAACAGAATAACCCCTCCAGATACTGTGGACGGTATATGTACACACGCTATCTCTCGGCGCATGCGCAACTGGCAGTAGCTTGAGAGCATGCATACAAACCCCGCGACTGACGTCCCAACACTTATGTGTGAAAGGCTTGATTTGAACATTTGCAACAGTAACGAGAAGTGTGAAGGGCAAATAACATGGGAGGTAGGAAGGCTGCAATCTACAATAGATTATGCACTGATGTCGCGTAGGATGTATGATAAGCTCAGGGGAATGAATGCACGTAGGTTAAAGTGGCTCCAGAAGTCTCGGTAGTGATCACCAACGTATCAAGCTAAGTTTTGGAAGAGCAGTGAAAGTGGGAACGAGACAAGATGAGCAACTAAAAGAAAATTTTTATTCAGAAAGGCAAATCGAAATAGCTTAAAACTAATTGAGAAAAGTAATCTTTGAGGATAATAAACCAGTGTGGACATACACAAGTTTAATTAGACTGAGCTAGAGCTTGCTAAGGCACGCGAAACGTCACTCCGGGAAAGGAGACGCAAACCCATGATTTGGTGGGATGAGAAAGTTAAGAGAGCATAGCGAAACATCAAGAAGCCTCTAGAGAACACGGACGTGCTAAGCAGCGGGGTGAACCGACAGATGATGTTGAAAGAAAATAGGACATTTTTCTAAGCTGTAGAAGGAATTCATCCCTTCTGATCAATGAAAATATTAGAAGAGAGCTCAGTGGCTGGCAGAAGTACATAAAAAAGATAGAAAGGCAGCTGCGAAATTTTGGAACCATCTAAACTCCCTAGAAATGAGACGAGCCTAGAGCAGAGGTCTATTACTACAGATCAAGGTGCTAGGCTAGAAGAGGACGAATCTGTTGAATATACAAGAACAAGGGTGAAAGAAAAATTTCAACAAAAAAGTTCTTTATGCACCACGATATACAAGGATGAATCAAGTGGCACAGTGGCTCCATTTTCACAACGAGAGAGGGAAAGGGCTGAGAAGAGGGTTCCTAGTAGTACATCAACAGGCCCAGATGGCATTCCAATTATGCTGATGAAGACAGTAGGTCCAAAGTGTAAGCAAGCTTTGAGGGAGGAAGTGAGTAAAATAATAATCGATGGTGAAGTCCCCGATGGATGTAAACTTAGCAGGATGAGCATGATCTATAAAGGAAATGGGGACAAAGCTGACATAAACGACTACCGTCCTATAACAGCGACATCCGTGGTCTACAGGCTGGCGATGGAGATTATAAAGGAAAGACTGCAGCCATGGATAGAGGATGAGGGGGTGCTGGGAGAACTGCAGAATGAGTTTTGGAAACACAGGAGGTTGGGAGAGAATCTGTTCACTTTCGCAGTGCATCGAAATAGCACAAAAGGAACAGAGGCCCCTGTGGCTAGCAGTTTTGCATATCAAAACAGCGTACGATAGCGTGGTTCAAGAGGACTTGTGGGAAATACGGGACACACTAGGTGTAGAAGAGGGAGTCACTAATCTTTTAAAGGATATCTATAAAAGTAACAACTTAAGGTAATCATAAAGTGGGAAAAACAGGTATCCAAGCCTGCAGAGGTAAAATGGGGGCTTACACAGGGGTGTCCCCTGTCACCTACAAGGATTAGAGGCCAAATTAGAGGGAAGTGCACAGGGCTTCAACCTCTCTTTAGTCAAACAAGGAAAACTCATTGAACAGGCACTACCAGCACTAATGTATGCAGGTGATATAGTGCTAATGGCCGACAACAAGGAATATTTGCAGAGATTGGCGGACATCTGCGGTAATGAGGGAGATAGGTTAGACTTCAGATTCAGTAAGAAAAAATCAGCAGTCATGATTTTAATGACAATAAAGGTAGTGGGCTTAGAATACAGGAGGTCACGCTATAAGCGGGTAGAATTTACTAGATGGAGGTTATCTGATTGGTGGCTAAAGTCAACGCACGACTGAAAATTGAACCCTTCACTGCAAAGTACGAGTCCTCAACCTCTCTATTGAAAGGAAGAAAAAAACCAAATCTAGTTTTTGGTTCACTAAGTATTACGGCTTGGTGGCGTTAGCCACCGTCCGATCTATAAGGTACAGCCAAATCACGCCACCCATCTATCTATGCACGCGCAATCACGCTGAAAAATCAGCGCATTCGAAAAAAAAAAGTGCTCAAGGTCACAAAGCGCGGGTTACGTAGTTTTTTTTTGGCCCCGCAACCCCTCCCTGCTTAGCTTCCAGCACTTTAGTCGGGACGAGAGAAAAGAGAATGCAATTGCAGCATGCGGCAAACCTTTGTCTCTCCACTCGCACTGGACGAATTCTTAAAAAATTTGCGGCGTTGAATTCGTGGGGCAATTAGCTCTACTAGTGAATTCATTCCGTGGTTACTTGAAGACGTGTTTCAAGGCCCTTTTGACGCATTTTGTTCGACAGGTGTCGCGACGAAAACGAGCCCTTCGGCGATTTCTAGACGCATTTGGGAGGACTCATACTACGGCGAAAAAGGCCGAGATAGTGCAGCCATCACCGCTAACAACACACAGGAACTTTCAAATAGCTCTGAAATCGACAATTAAGTCCATCTATTGGAAAACATATATCATGCTTTTTCAGAGGCGTTGATCAAGCAAACACCAAACGCTAGACAATGTTAGATAATGCTAGATAATTTATGCGGCACTGTGAGACTTCTTATGGCCTCCGAGATGGCAAGCGCGTGGCGTTGATCTTGGAGGCTATGCGATCTTGCCTTAGATCAAAAACCTGTATGTAAATCTGCTCGCGCGCGCTGGTACACGCACGCTCACACACGCACACAGTGGATTCACTGTGTGCGTGTGTGCGCGTGCGTGTCTATGTATGCAACAGAACTTATTAATAAACATGCCCTTAGCGGTTGAAGAGCACACTAGGGTCCAGATTTCGCTATCGCGTTCTACTCTTAAAGGCGAAGTTGATGGGTCCCCCAAAGTTTTCACGTGTAGGACGAGGTTGGAGGAGAAACAACTGCGAAGGACTCTTCGCATTGGGAAAAGTGTGACGGCATCCTGGTGTTAAGGAGATAAGGCTGTGTCAGGAATATCGATGCGTACTGAAGAAGCCGATACCTAACACTTTGAAATAACTATTCCCTCTGCCTTGTCATTGATTGTCTTAGTTTGCCTTCTGCGCATGCGTCATGCACGATCGCAGATGTGTCCTATTATATTACGCTGTAAGGGTCTCAAAAAGTGTTAAATGTTAACTAACGTGTGTCTTAATTGTTATCTTTTGTATCCTCGTCTGGCTGCGCTTCTATAAATCTTTTGGATTTCCTTCACGAACAACACCAATGTTTTGCTGTTTCGCTCACACCCAACGACGCGGATGCCGGCACCAAAATTTCTGTGAAAGGAGCTCATTTAACGCTATGAATTTACACACGATTAGCACAGCTGCCTACGCTTCGAGCGTTACTTTACCTTCAGTAAACTCAGAGATTATTCACCTGGTCCCACATTTCATATACTCAAATCAAAATTTCCCCGAGGAAAAAAAAACATCAACTGATTAATAGTGGTTATAAAAAGATTAGTCGAACATGGAACCATGAAGTAATTCTGAAAATACGTTGCGAATGGTGTATTTTAATCAGCCATGACACATCAGTGGCTACAATGGTCGGCTGCTCGGCCACAGTGGGTGCACTTCGGTAGAGGCGAAATGGTAGAGACCCGTGTGCTGTGAACTGTCAGCGTTGGCTAAAGTACCCTATTAGGTCAATATTTTATTGCGATCGAATTATATGGACAATCTCGGCTGATTTGTGCCGTAGGTGTCGCAGTCATGCCAAGTATATATATTATATATATATATATATATATATATATATATATATATATATATATATATATATATATATATATATATATATTGTCACGGGGTCGTGACGTGGCCGAAGACAGGAGACTTCTTGTTGGAATTTAACTGTTTATTTGGGCGAACCTGTGCCCGGTAAACAGAAAGTCCAATTACAGCAGCAGTATCGCACAGATAGCAGTCTCAAACTGATAGCGGCGAACGGAGCGTCGGCCTTCGATCAACAACTGACAAGTGGCGAAGCGCGTCGGCATTTATACTCCCGCCGTCGAATGTTCTAGTGCTATCGCTGGCGGCGGCGTGCGTTCCAGAACAATCTGTACCATTCGCACAGTGGGCGTGATCTTATCAAAATGATCTGCTACAGTCCGGAACCCTCTAGAAAACTGCAGGCGCGGTTTGCGCTGAGAATCGTGTGGTGTTTTGGGACGATAACAAAAACTTGGGAAATGGAACGTGGCATTGCCCCCCTCTGAAAAAGGCATCGTCTCGATGCTTTAACTAAAGATGAAGGTACAATAATAATGCAAGAAAGTACAATGAATAAATTACGATACAACAATAATACAAAAAAACACTGTTTCAGTTTGTTAACGCGCATGAAACGGCTTGAGGCGTGCGACATGGACGACGTCAGGTCGCGATCGGCGTCGTTGAGAGTTCGTGATGCCGTCGGGGACAACCTCGTAATCAAGTGGGCCGAGACGTCGAACAACCCTGTACGGTCCGAAGTACCGTCGCAGAAGCTTTTCACTTAGTCCACGTCGGCGTATCGGCGTCCACACCCAAACACGTTCACCGGGCTGGTATTCCACGAAGCGTCGTCGAAGGTTGTAACGGTGGCTGTCGGTCGTTTGTTGATTCTTGATACGGAGCCGCGCAAGTTGTCGGGCTTCTTCGGCGCGATGAAGGTACTCGCTCACATCGAGGTTTTCTTCGTCGGTGACGTTGGGTAACATGGCATCGAGCGTCGTTGTCGGGCTCCTTCCGTAGACCAATTTGTATGG